CTATTATTATAGTCATTTGTTTCAATTAACCGCTCTGTGATTTTACAATAGCAACTGTGAACCTGCGTGGAGTGAGCCATCACTCCCAACAAGATGTCTCCAGTCAGAGCCACAGGCGAGAGAGAGCGCCTTCCCATCATGCCTAGAGCAGCGCTTGTGCTTCAGGACTCAACAGCAAAAAGCTCCCAACGTCACGCGGTCAAATGCATTCATGTCATTATGAATTGCACGGCTTGCATTATATTATTTAGTTTGACCTTTTGCTCATGGTTTTTGAGGATGAGGTCATGTCGCGCAACCTGTCCACGTTGACATCTGTCTAATTCGACAGGTACATTTGTGCGAGTTGCACCTGCACACATGACCTTTGACATCAACAGCTTGGAAAGTGTTTTCCCACCATTTAAAAAAAAAAAAACGTATCTTTTTTTTTTTTCAACTATGCATGGATTATATGTGACCCAAAAGCAGTGTTAAGTCGCTGGGGTATATTTGTAGAAATAGCCAACATACATTGTATGGGTCAAAATTTTTCAAGATTTTTCTTTTATGACAAAAATCATTAGGATATTAAGTAAAGATCATGTTCCATGAAGATATTTTGTAAATTTCCTACCGTAAATATATCAAAACTTAATGTTTGATTAGTAATATGCATTGCTAAGAACTTCATTTGAACAACTTTAAAGTTGATTTTCTCAATATTTAGATTTTTTTGCAGCCTCAGATTCCAGATTTTCAAATAGTATACATAAAATACATTTTCATTTATGTATTCAGCTTTCAGATGGTTGTGTGGTCCAGGGTCACATATGATTAGTTGCGTTTTATAATTTTTGCAAAATGCATTTTTCTCTCTATCTGACCAATCAGACCTGTGACCCATTTTAGGGTTTGTGACCCACCAACTGAGCACTGATGGCCTAGATTCTCTCTATATCACTGGCTGTGTACAGAATGCAATACTAGTGCACTATTTACTGTGCAGTGTGCCAGTATTATTTACATGCTGTTATTTTGTTGTTATTATTATTATTTATTAATCATATATTTTATTATTTATTAATATGTTAAATTAGCTTTTATATTTAAATGTTCATGTTCATATTTTCTTATGCATTGCAGTAAGTTTAAGTGATTTTGTCATTTTTATTATTTTGTTAAATTTCTGTTTAACTTATTTTTATTTTAGTTTTAGTAATTTTGTTATGTTTTTATCATTTTTATTATTTTAATGTTTCTGTTTAACTTATTTTTATTTCAGTTTTAGTTCTAGTAATTTTGTTATGTGCTGTTATCATTTTATTTTATTTTATAATGGTTATATATAACTTATTTGTATTTTAGTTTTAGTAAGTTTAGAACTTCAACTTTTATACTGTATTTTTATTTTTAAGTTTGAGTTTTTTTGTGTTTTTAAGCTTTTTTAAGTTGAGGTTTTTCATCTAATATTTGATTATTTATTTTTATTGCAGATTTATATGAATAATAAAAACAATTTTTAGTAATTTTAGTTTTAAATAACTGTAGTGCACAAGGTTTTTTGGAGGGGGGGGGTGGTAAATAATAAGTGAAACATTTTAAACAGTAGATTTTGACAAACATCATTATGCACGTTTTTTGGAAATAAATCACGCATTTTGCATTTTTGCATGTGCATTTCTAATCCAATTTAGTTCGATATAAACATAGCTGTCAAAAATCACAGCAGATATTACTTACGATTCATTTGTCTTCACTAGAAATGCAAGCTCAAGATGAGCACATTGCATTGTGGGAAACAGTATACAGTGTGCTCTGGTTGTATGCTATTCATTCTGTAGTTCAAGCGCATGCAGAAAATTCACATTCTGGTCCCACATGCTACATACTGCAGAAGTGGCTGTTCTGAAACGCAGCCGTACTTTTACAGAAACTAATGTAACTGAATTATGCTGTAGCCCGAACAATTGTCACATGAAGCTACATACAGTATATGATAATTTGGGTACAATCTTTCTTGTAGCAGCAATACATGTCACACGGGTTATACTGATAACGCATTATAATTCATGCAAAACACCCTACAACTTGTGTTTTCCACAGACCACAATCTCAATCACTGAAAGACACGTGACATGTCCAGAAAGAGACTGTACATTAGATGATCTACTGTATGGCGTATTTAATGAATGTGACCTCAGATTCATTGCAATCGTGTCTTTCCTCTGGTTTTGCAGTAAAGCATTCGTCCAGTCGCACACTGGAGGAGGAGGACGCTGAGAACCACACACAATAGTGTTGCGATATCGCACACGCTCGGTGTGAAGCTTATAATTGGATGGCGGTTGTACTCGATGAACAGCGAGTACAAAGAGCTCGAGACACAACAGAGGAACAGGAAATGAAGTTTCCTAACAGAGAGTCTCTGCTAAATGAACAGAGCAGTTTGTATGTGGAACGTGTCTTAAACGCTTTCCACAGCAAAAAAAAATCATTTTCTTAATCAGTATTTTGTCTCGTTTTCCAGTATAAACATTTCAGCGTCATTAAAACACAATGCATTTACTTGAGAAGTAAAATTATGTCCTTCTGCCAGAGAAATTTAACATTTTATGGTTAAAACAAGAGAAGAAACAAGCTTAACCCTGTCAAGCTTGACATATGAAATAACAGTCTAATTTTTAGAAATGTTATAACAGTTTATTGAACCTTTAGACAGAATATAAAAAAGTTTGCATCATTGTTTTGTGTCATATTTTATGCATCAGACTTTTATGGCTCATTCAGAGACTCAAACTGAGCACAAATATGCAATTTGGTGCAAATGCTGATATTTATATGATGATATTCTGATGCTTGTGATGTAAATCAATGAGATCTTTATAACAGTTCAGCAGATACTGACATGAAATTATATAAATATCAGTGGTCACTCTATATCTCCAATAATATGTCTTAGTAAGTTGAGATTGAAATGATCCAAACATATAATGCAGTGATGGAGAGCTGAAGAAATAAAGTCTCCTCAGAACACTTTACGGTAAGGTCCCGTTAGTTAATATTAGTTAGTGCATTAATGCAACTAACAATGAGCAAAATATTTGTTTCAGTATTTAGTGACACTACTGTAGATCATAAAAATGCATTTGTTAGCATTCGCCTGGCATTAAATAATATTAACAGGTGCAGCTTTTGATTTTGATCTGTTAGTAAATGTAAAAAATTGCCATTTCACTGTAAAAAAAAAAATTAGTTTTCAAAGTTGTAAATAAAACAGAGATTATTGGAGTACGCTTTACAAGAAAATATTATTTCAGTCTTCAAATGTTCATGTTTAATTAAATGTGTAACTTGCCATTTCTTTAGTAATTAATTCTGAAATTGGCCATTTTTGAGTGAAACTTGTTTCTACACCAATGTTTTTTTATACAGATTTAGAAGTATTTTTCATGCTTATTAATGTCTTTAACTAATTTGACCGAATGAAGCCTTATTGTAAAGTGTTACCAATAAACTGAACTAAAATCGCTTTATATTGATATATATATATTATTTTGATTATTTTATTAAAAATTGGTGTAGAAACATGTTTTTGTTCATAAATTGCCAGTAAATTTCACAAATAATTACAAAGCATTGTTGCACATGACTGAAAATGTATAAGATATTTTCTTATAAAACATACTCCAGTAATCTTAATTTTATTTACAACTTCTACAGTGCATAAACAAAACTCAAAAGACGTGTATGCAAGCTGCTTTTTGAAGAGCGGCGATGGAAATGAAGCATGGAGAAATATTAAAATACAAAAGTCACAGATGCTTACTTTGAGAATATTTCCTGATTTGAGAGAAACCATAGCAAATTAACTAATGTAGCAATGGCTGACTTCATCTTATGTATCTGGAGTAGAGTACTTGGCACGTCCCTATTGAAGAAAACACCATTAATGTGTGCATTTATTCACTGTATTCTGGTTTTTGCACATCCTTTTCTCAGCAAGAAACGGTCCAGTAATTCCAGTCAACAGTACTGAAATGATATTCAGAAGTTCAAACGGGACGACGGCGCTGCAATGATGGTTTGGAAACAAATAGCATAAATTATTCAACGAGCGAGCGAGCGAGAGAGAGAGCGAGAGAGAGAGAGAGAATAGACTGTGATTGATTGGTGGTTTTCGTGGAGTCGTACCTTTTTTTTTTGTGCCAACAAAGGTTCCAATCACAGAATTCGTCCGTAATATGAAAATTCACTCAATGAGCCCGTTGGCTTTGCCGGCCGTCTCTCTCTCTCTCTCTCTCTTTCTCTCTCTCTCTCTTGTCATTTGTGTGTTAGGCGCCCAGATTAAAGAACAGGGTGATGCTCTTGGCCGGCAGCGGTTGCTATGGAAATGGGGTTGCCGTCGCTATGATAGGCCATTCATGTTTGATTAATTGGTTTTTCAATGCTTCTTGGTTTGTGAAAGCCCTTAAAGAGCAACTCCACGGAAAATGGAAAATTAATGGATTCTCTCTCCCTCTCTCTCCAACATTAAAGCTACTTCGCTGCATTTGAAAACTGAACTAATGGTGTTGCTGAAATGTGATTTGAGGCTGGAGGTTGTGTTTGGGCTGCTTGTGGAGGGGCTGTTGAGTATTGGAGATCTGAAATGTCTAAATGAGGAAAGCCTTTGTTTCAGGTCTGCTTTTGTACTGACGCATAGTAGGATGTCCTGTAGATTCCAGGCTAATTCATCTGCATTAACAAAAAGCTGTGCGTTTGTGAACGTCATGCATTTTTCTTGCTCTTTCATTTTAAATTTAATCTATTAGCAAGTCTGGAGAGGTTAATTAGCGCTATTACAAGCTCTCACTAAGATCACATCCGTTACGGTAATGTTTACCGAGAGTCGCTCGGCCCAGACCTCTCCGACTTCATTAATCATCTTAAGAAGCTAGTGTCTTTGTAGATTGGCCTCAATTGGTTATTTCATTTCAAAATTCCTCCTAGTAAAGTCTGGTCTTCTTCTCTCACCCTAGATGCCGGTGTTTGCAGGGCAAGTGGGCGGTCATTACCCCCGCGCCCACCACAGCCCCATGCTAAACCCATCTGCCCGGATACTGCCCCACCCCATGAGCGCCCTGTCCCAGCTCAGCTCTCAGATTGGCCAAGGCTCCTTTACACACGGTTCCCCGTCATCGTCAGGAAGTCAGTCAGCCACGCCCTCCCCCTCAAGCTCCGCCCAGGAAGAGGAAGCAAAGTACCACTCAAAGGTACAAGAACGAGAACAACAAAGCGCTGGCGTTTTGCAGGGCGTGAAACTGCACGATATTTAACAGTAGAATGCAGCTCAATAGAGAGTGTTTTCTCCTTAGATTGACATCTTGATTACACTTTACAGAAGCATTTATTGATGCGTTTGGTATTATGAACTAACAACACTTTTACAGCATGTATTCATCGAAGTTGATTGATAAATATAATATTGTTCTTCATTGTTAATTAATGTTTGTTCATAACATATTAACCGATATCAATTTATGCAACTTGAAATGTTAAAAATATGTGGAAATTATCGTGAACCGTGATTAATACATGCTGTAAAAGTATTGTTCGTTCGTGTTAGCGATTGCAGTGTGTTGTAAGCATTAGTGACTTTTCATCATTGATGCATTAAATTGATCAAAAGTGACAGTAAAGACATTTATAATGTTACAAAAGATTTCTCTTTCAAATAAATGCTGTTCATCTGTGAATCCTGAAAAATAAAACGCATCATGGTTTCCACAAAAATATTGGGCGGCACAACTGTTTTCAACATTGATGATAATCAGAAATGTTTCTTGAGCAGCAGCATATTATACTGATTTCTGAAGATCATGTGACACTGAAGACTGGAGTAATGATGCTGAAAATACAGCTGCGCATCACAGAAATACATTACAGTTTAACATAGATTCGCATAGAAACGGCTATTTTAAGTTTTTAAAAATATTTTGCAATTTTACTGTTTTTACTGTATTTTGAATCAAATAAATGCAGCCTTGGTGAGCAGAATAGACACTGGTTAGTCACTAGGAATTTGGTTATTAAACACAAGCAAAGTTGAAATCACATTTGCTACAGGATCATATATCATCAGTGATCTCATGGCAGGTCTCTCTTGAAAGGTTTATATGGTATCGTTAAAAATCTGTTCCTCTATGGAAAATAATGAATGTGATTTTTACTTCCGGAATCCGTCGGCTGCGCTCTATAGAGGAGCATAAACAGCAGACTTTGAGAGCTTTGAGAATAATTCCCCCTCTTTATTTAAAAGCAAATGATTTTCCGTATGTCTCAATAGTGTTTACAAATCTCTGCATTTTAACTTCACATCTTGACGTCTTTTGTTCGCTGTGATTTGTTGGCAAAAACATTACTCTGTTTCTCTCTCTCTCTCGCTCTCCCTCTCTATCCCTCTTTTCATTTTCATTGTCCCAGAAAACCAATTACTCCTGCTTGTCCGTCATCCTCTCCTTTTATTGGAAGTGTCAGTTTGAATTTAATTTGAATGTTGCATGTAATGCACAAGGCAGCTCGAAATCCCTCATTATCGCGACGCTGCATGCTTAATTGGATTGGAGAACACAAAGAGCGAATTAACTTACATGATGTTTAAATCACATTGTTCTTCAGCGGGCTTATGGAAGAGTCCGACCTAATACAGCACAAAGTCCGGTGCAATTATACCTGGTCCGGGTAGATTTAAAAAGCCAGTCAAACTAGCGAAAGAAGTATTTCAGTCAGCCTGAAATCCTGGTGGATTTTAATAATAACGCCGTCTGGACAACAGAAACAATTAGCACATTTTATTCCCATCTGTATTTCTTTTACTGGAAATGCTTGCAAACACAATTCTGCTCATTGACACGTACAAATGCACGCTAATGTATTTAAACTCCGTGACACTGACACAAACACATCCATCCTACGTTTCATTTTCCTCTGGAATGTGCCGTGCGCTCATGGATGGCATATGTGTGTTTGTTTGCACTTAATTAAACTCAATGTATATAAATCTAAAGCATTAAATGGCTAGATTCCAGTCAGTTTCCAGAATGCATGTGCTGCTTTTTAGCTTGTGTCTGTGTGTGTTTGACATATGTTTTGTAGATTCATGCATGTGAACGTGTGCTTTTGCATGCATTAATTGAATCCTTTAGTTTGGAAATATGCAGCTGCGCACATATATGGACGTGTGTGCACTTGTGGAAAACATACATATAGTCATGCACATACTAGTGAATAAAACTCTTCATCTTGTTACTGTAATGCATGCAACCACAAAACAACACATGAAGAATGAACATTGCATTCTCAGTGCTGCCACAAGTGGCGCTGTAGCAGCATCGACAGGTAGTGCACTATACTACATACTCAACAATTCACTGTACAAAAGAGAGAGAAAAAAAATTGGACTGACAACATGTTTGGACTTGATTCAAATCAAAACCTCACTCTGTATTTTGTTGCACAAATCTCATGACAGATTTGAGAGACACGTACAGTATGCTCACATTAATATTTTTAGAATGGAATTAGTTTAATTCACACTGACAGCTTCATTTTTGGACATGCAAAAGTTTATTTTCTGTGTTGATGTATTTCCATTTAGAAATGCAGTGTTTTTCTGGCGAACATTTCATTGAAATCAAATTTGGACAGACCACTATAAGCATAACAATGTCTAATATTGGTCCATATATATATATATATATATATATATATATATATATATATATAAGTTATTTTTTTTTTTTATTTTTTTTATATATATATATATTTCTTACAGAGGTTAATGTGTTGCATGAAGGACGAGTGCCACCTCATTCTTAAATGTTTATATGTGCATACCCATCTCAATAATGGCTTCACTGTGATCAAGAAATAAACATGCAAACAAATGTCAAGAACCATACTGTGATATATGGGCTAAATTGCGACATACAACAACACTATAACGACAAGTCAATTATGGTGGGAAGGTGAGAGCAATGAATAAAGCAAAACACTTGTAACTAGTTTTAAGGAGTAATCTAACTACTGAAAGAAAAATTTAAAAAATAAAGAACTGATTTAATAGTCTTAGTTTGAAGTGCAAACCTAAGCAATTACATAGTTGTCAGTTGCTATCTTCATGGGAATCATAATGTTTTTTAGTCTAGATGGGTGAACTTGCTGACTGTAAGTCAAAGTACATGATCATAAGCACAACAGTTAAGTGTGAGTAATTAGGAGGCAAAAATATCTTCCTGTCAGCCTGTTCCTGTCTCGCCACCTCTGGCTGCGGCGGCTCCCTTCAAACTGCACTTCCTTTGAGTTGTCTGATGCTGTTGAACGGTGCGGCGCCGCTGACTGCGTTTGATAATCTGTCATCCACACGCCATGCTCAGTGTCATCAACATGCCGCAAACGCCGCTTCAAAAATTAAACACTGACATTTTAACTTGAAAAACTGCCGTTACGTGACACACCGACAAAAACGAAGCCAATCCTGAGAAATGTTTGCTTAACTGGAAAAGCAGTGGAAGGTTTGTGAAGGGAGCGTTTTTCCTCGCCACCTCCCAACACGTATCAGCCGGCATAAGATTTATGGCTCTTCTAATTAAATTTTGCTAAGCTGGCAGACACTTGAGCGAACTGTGATGTTACTCCTGGATTCTGATTAACAGGGGCTGAATTCATTATTGTCCTGTAGTGCCCGTCTGGGTCCTTAACAGCCCCTGCTAATTAAAAAGAATAATGCAGCCAATATTATACTGCACGCAATCAACGTTTATGCTTACTTGTAAAAACACAAATACACAGTAGACTATAGGTGTGCGTTGTAGTGACTTACACAAAAGCAGGAATGTCTTTAAAGCTTCAAAAAATAATTTATATACTTGCATTTCAGTAATAAGACATTAATACAGTGCTGTGAAAAGGTTTTTGCCCCCTTCCATTTTTTAGTTTTTTTTTGCATATCTGTCACACTTAAAAGTGTCAGATCATCAAACGAATTGTAATATTACACAAAGATAATGCAAGTAAACACAAAATTCAGTTTTTAAATTATTATTTTATTTATTAAGGGGAAAAAACTGTCCAAACCTACCTGGCCCTACGTGAAAAAAATGAATTGCCCCCTCCTGTTAAATCATGGAAGAACTGTGATTAAGCACATTATTTTAGAAAGCTGAGTTAAATTTCACTAGCCACACCTAGGCCTGATTACTGCCACAACTGTTGAATCAAGAAATCACTTAAATAAAACCTCTCTAACAAAGTGAAGCATGCTCAAAGGACAACACATCATGACGCGATCTAAAGAAATTCAAGAACAGATGAGAAACAAAATAGTTGACATGTATCAGTCTGTATAGGGTTATAAAGCCACTTCTAAAGCTTTGGGACTCCAGTGAACCAGTGTTCAGAGCCATTATCCACAAATGGAGAAAACTTGGAACAGTGGTGAACCTTCCCAGGAGTGGCCGGCCTCCCAAAATTACTCCAAGAGTGCAACAACGACTCATCCAGGAGGTCATACAATAACCCAGAACAACATCTAAAGAACTGCAGGCCTCACTTGCCTCAATTAAGGTCAGTGTTCATGATTCAGCAATAAGAAAGAGACTGGGCCAAACCCCTTTAAAAACCCCTGACCCCTTTAAAACAGAAGTAAGGTCAACAAACAGAAATATCAAACCATTGTTTTGGCAAACAGAAATCATAATTAATAATTTGAATAAATGTTAAGCATGTGACAACTTGCCTCGACTTGACATTTATGAACAATGCTTCTGTCGTGAAAACACCAGTTTCAACCTTTCAGTTCAAATTGACCGTTGTTATATAGTGACTCTTGAATGTCAGAATGTGTGTCAGTGTGATTTTATTGTGTTCACGTGTAACCAAACAGCAATTCTAAAAATATGATGAAAGTGGAAATGTGTCTTGGTGGATAGAATTCACAAATCCAACATGCAGAACATCTAGGGAAACACACATTTGTGTAATTGGACTTTAGAAACCTTAGTTCCTGTGAAAAATAGAGATTGTGACAACTAGCCCCATGCTCTCCTATAATTAACATGGTAAACACATTTTGTTGTCATGACAATGTTGCACACAACATTTCTTTACCTATTGCACAGTGAAATTGAATAAAATCGTGACTTTGGTTTATGATTCTGCCAAATGCAGTATTCCCAGACAATGGACATTCAGCACACTTCATATCTTCTCATAT